AGCTTTATATGTATCATGCATGTGAGAGTCAACTTAGCCATATATATATATAAAACTTGCTTAATTAGACCTGCTTTCTGGTTTAACTAAACTTTTTCCAGCCTAATGAAGCACCTCAACTTCTCTTTTAGGTAATTGTCAGCAACACAGCAGTAAATATCAATGTAAGTAGATTATTATTGTAGACCACACAGGGAGAACAAAGGGTAAAATATTTAACTGCAGCAGTCTTTGACTATATTCTGTGCAGTGAGAAAACCTGGAGTTATTTTCAAGGTCTACTATTTCTTACTTCTTTTCCATCGGGTCAAGTTTCTAAACTTTCTAAATCTCCATTTTCTAGCTAATGAAAAGAAAATGGGATTCTACCGAGTCTCCTATCTACCTACTCCAGGACTTCTGTGAGGATCAAACGAGATGAGGCATGGGAAAACACTTCACAAACATTTGGTTAAAGTATAAAATATTTGCACCTGGCTATAAAGCAAGTTGTGTTCCTGGGCTGAAGAAACTGCAAGGAGGCTAATCACTAGGGAGAGGAAGCCAGGCATTGCTACATGACGTCATTACCTGGCACCTACCACCACCATTTCCAGGCTGGGCTGGTCTGTGGCCACACTTTGTGCTATGGCAGCATCAGCTGCGATTTGGTGGAGTGTCACTCCAGGGTGGTGGCAGGGCCTATGTCCCATTTGGGGGAAGCCAAGTGTTGCTTTGTTGGCACCAGGTCTGTGGTGCCCATTCTCTATAAATGGCCAGTCTGTGTCACGGAGGCTCCTGCCTTGAGCGTCTGTCTCCTAATGATCAGTGCACCTCATAGCGACCGGTCGGATGGACAGAGGGACACATAGCATATTAGCCTTTTATACATATAGATTGGAGAAAAGGGAAATAGATGAGCAAATATTAGGGCTGGTGAATGACTTAATCAAGAGAGAAAGAGAGTCCCATGGCCACTCTTGGCCACACCCATTCTAGCAAGGCACAGGAGTGGAACTGATTGAAAAGATTGGGGAATCCTAATCTATAACTTTCTCTATGGCACCCAGCACAAGAGGTATGTTCACGAGGGTGCTGAACAAATTCTTTTTAACAAACGCTATTATAGCACCAATTCAGAGAAGGCAATACTTTGGGTCAACTGATCTTCAAAGGAATTAGTTGCAGCAGGTGGGTCCCCCCAATATGTGTCTATTGGGGCTTTCATTAATACTATACTCTGTAAGACCAACACCACCCCTGCCAAGATTCCAGCATCCTCAGTGCCTCCCACCTCCAGCCCAAGGATTCTATACCCAGTTCAGACTGATGGTTCCCAAAACTCCACAGATATGGTCCTCCAAGTGTGTTCCATGTGTCCAGTTGGGGGGATTGTGTCCCCAATACCCTTTCAGTAGATCTGGGAGGTCAAAACTATTCTCATAATAGCATAGACATCATTCTCAAGACATCATTGCCTTTTTCACTATGATGGCATCTTGCACTGAGGTCAAAAGCAATGGTGGGCAAAATTACTAATCCCTTAGCATGAATTCAGTCTCCTGTACTAGTTAGTAGTCATTATATTCTTTACCAACACATAGTCTCATTTAAAAAAAAAAAGGAGGTCAAAACTATTCTCATAATAGCATAGACATCATTCTCAAGACATCATTGCCTTTTTCACTATGATGGCATCTTGCACTGAGGTCAAAAGCAATGGTGGGCAAAATTACTAATCCCTTAGCATGAATTCAGTCTCCTGTACTAGTTAGTAGTCATTATATTCTTTACCAACACATAGTCTCATTTAAAAAAAAAAAAAGCCCCCGAAACCGGTTTGGCTCAGTGGATAGAGCGTCGGCCTGCGCACTGAAAGGTCCCAGGTTAGAGTCCGGTCAAGGGCATGTACCTGGGTTGCGGGCACATCCCCAGTAGGGAGGTGTGCAGGAGGCAGCTGATTGATGAAATAATATATATATATATATATATTTTTAAAAGCCAGTTTCACCTAAGAATGTTTTGCAAAAATAGTAAAATTGTTATTTTATTAAATTCAACTCTGGATTGCCCATCCTTAATATGCTACTAAGTACAATGGGCATTCAAGAGTTGAATTTAAGTTATAAAAGAGTCATTTGCATTCTCTCTCCTTGCCCAACTGGAGTGGCTCAGTTAGTTGAGTGTCATCCTATGCACCAAAAAGTTGCCAGTTTGATTTCTAGGTGAAGATACATACCTGGGTTTTAGGTTCAATTCCCAGTGAGGGTATATTTCTCTAACACATCAATGTCCTCCGATGAGGAAGAAAAGATGAAATGTTCTCTCCTTCTCCAATTGTGTATCTGTGTGAAGTTGGATTATCACATATTTCAAATCAAAACAACGTCTTCCCACAGGTGGAGTGCAGACATGCTTCTACAAAGCCAGACAGAGATTTGCAAAATTATTTAGGTGCCACTCTTCCCCTTCCTTTTTGTTTTAGAAATATAGTTATTTTTCATGAAACTATGTTATTTATGTTAATCTATAATGGTTTTTTTATTTCTATTTTTTAAGTTATAAGTAAATATATAAAATATATTTAAATATTTAAAATTCTTCTCGGTTTTAATTTCAAGCCTGGAAAATACTGATAGATAGATCCCACATAAACAATAGCTCTTGGAGTCCTCAGTAATTTTACATATTTAAATGGTCCTAAGACCACAAGTTTAATCTGTAGGGAAGGAAATCAGTCCACTGAGAGACTACAGGGAGAGAATTGCAGAAGCCCATGAAATAAACATTCCCTCTGTCACAGTTTCCTAACTAGCAATTTGCGACATTTAGCCCATCCCAGCTCTAGTCTTTGTGAGTCATGAGTAATCCTGTTTAAAATCCTTACTGAGTTCTCTTTCAATGTGCCTTGTTGAAGAACACACTTAGGCAAGGGCTGGGTGTTTGAGCCACAACACCATGATCCAGAAACCTGCAGACACCCATTGGCCACTTATCCTTTTGTAGGTGGAGTAGGCAGGAAGCAAGAACATGTTTCTGTCTGGCCTCGAAGTCTTCGTCCATTAGGCGGACCTGTCTCAGGCGCAAGTTTTCCCACGATGCTGGATTCTCCGTTGGTTCTCCAGGACACTGTGTCAGTTACATCCCCATGTCCAGCGGTTTTCCTTCTGCTTCCTGCTACTGCCCTTGTATTATTTCATGAATGTCCCTTTGCTGGTGAGGATTCGGGATATGAACTTTGGAGGGACACTTTTAGACCACATAATGCAGTTTATCAATTCTTTCTTCATGGATTTTGCCTTTGATGTCATATCTAAACCCAACCCAGATCCATACTGGAGACCTTGGGTTTGGGCATCATTGCCAAACCCAAAGTCACCCAGATTTTCTCTTCTGTTATCTTCCAGGAGTTTTATAGTTTTGCATTTTACATTTACATCATTGACCCATTTTGAGTGAAGGTCTGTGTCTAGACTCATTTTTTTCTGAATGTTAGTTGCCCACAGCACCATTTGTTGAAAAGACTATCTTTGTTTCACTGTATTGACTATATTTATGAGGTTCTATTTCTGGGCTCTCTATTCTGTTCCATTGATCTATTCATCTTTTCTTTGGCCAATACCACGCTGTGTTGACTATTGTCACTTTAGAGTAAGTCTTAAAGTCAAGTAGCATCAGTCCTCCCACATTGCTACTCTTCCTCCGTATCATCCTGGCTCTGTGGGCCTCTCTCAGTTCAGGTTTCCATGGCTTCCAACAGGCAAAGCATCTTCTTCTCACTCTGTGGATGGTCATTTCTCAGGCTTCCCGGGACTTGGGGAGGAACCTGTGTGCTCAGTGAACACCCCTTCTTAAGTCCCTTCTTACGAATATCTCCTCTTAAAAATACCCCTTACTTCAGCAATGGCTCCCCTCCCAAACCAGGGGCCCAGACTTTCAGACATGCCCTTGCGTAGAATATCCAGGGACTCCCAAGGATCAGAGAATAAAATGTGAGTTCCTCCCTGTGTCCTACAACACCTCTTTTGTGTGTCTTTCTTCTCCTTCTTTCTCTCCCCTTCACCCATTAGGCTGCAGCCCCCTTGGTCACTGTTATGTCCCTTGGCCAAGCCCTCTCTCACCCTGACTCTTAGCCTGCTCAGCCTCCCTAGCTGGGGAGCCCTTTTCGCCCCTTCAGGTCACCCTCACATGCCACCTCTGCAGAGAAACCTTCCTTCACTTCTATCGCTGTAGGAGTAACCTCCCTGTGTTCTCTCCATCATGACCCCTTTTATTTCCTTCGTGACATTTATCAAAAGTATGCAAGTACCAAAGAGCATTTGAGATCTTGCTTCCTGGCCATTGTCAGTTTCAGCTCAAATAAACTCATAAAAAAATATCCAAGTAACTTGCTTGTTAGTTTACTTGTTAACTAGCTGTCTCTCGGATGGAATATAAGCTTTCAAGGACTGGGAGTTGCCTACCTTATTCTTCACATAGTACGCCCTCAATAAATATTTATAAATGAAGGAGTGAATGAATGAGCTGGAGGAAATCCTCCATCCATGTTGTGTGTGTTTTTCTGAATTAAAAAGACAGTCTGCTTTCCACCTGTAGAAAAAAAATTTTTTCCCTTCTCTGAATACCCTCTTGGGACCCTAAGGCTTTCTTTTAGGCTATGGAAACCAAAAACAAGAAAAGAAAGTTCCTCTCAGGCAAAGACAACTTCTGCTTTTCATCCTGCCAAAAACCACAGCTGAAAGGGAGAAAGGGTGCAGGGCTGGTTATTTTATTGAGTGAAGGGTGTGAAGACTGGAGAGGAGGGAGAGGAAAAGGAAAATTCAAGGAGGAAAAACCCAAATTAATCTCTCTAGAGGTTGTCCAGCACGCCTCACTGAAGGTGTCCTGGGGTAGTTCCTGACAGCTGAGCGATGGTGGGGCGGAGAGCCACCGCCTTTCACACAGAGGCGCTGGCATTGGCTCAATTAGCCAACCAGCCTCATTCCCGGCCCTGGACTCTTGTTCCAACAGGACCCGACCTTCAGGCAACGCAAGGCGGGGGAGTCTGAATGGTGAGGGAGAGCCCTGCTCCTTCTTAAGCGCCGGTGAGTCAAGCCAGGGCTGGAACACCGCCTGCCCGCCGCTGTCCTTCAGAGCCAGGAGAGCAGCGGGAGCTGTACCTGCACCCACACCTCCACCGCCCATGGCCGACCAGCTGACCGAGGAGCAGCTGGCCGAGTTTCGAGAGGCCTTCTCCCTGTTCGACAAGGACGGGGACGGCACCATCACCACCCAGGAGCTGGGCACCGTCATGCGGGCCCTGGGCCAGAACCCCACGCAGGCCGAGCTCGAGGGCATGGTGAGCGAGATTGACCGTGATGGCAACGGCACCGTGGACTTCCCCGAGTTCCTGGGCATGATGGCCAGGCGCATGAAGGACAGGGACAGCGAGGAGGAGATCCGCGAGGCCTTCCGCGTGTTCGACAAGGACGGCAACGGCCTGGTCAGTGCGGCCGAGCTGCGGCACGTAATGACCAGGCTCGGGGAGAAGCTGAGCGACCAGGAGGTGGACGAGATGATCCAGGCAGCCGATGTGGATGGGGACGGGCAGGTCAACTACGAGGAGTTCGTCCGCATGCTGGTCTCCAAGTGAGGAGCCGGCAGGTGCCGCAGCCCCGGGCTGTCCCCACTCTGCTCTGCGGGGGACCTGCCTGCTTCTGGCTGCAGCAGGAGCCTCAGGCGCTACATCGCTCCCTCCACCCACCAGCATCCCGGCCCTGCTTCTTCCCTGCGAGGTGAGGTCAGGCCCGCTTTCTGCCTCTCACTTTGTCTCCTATTTCCTGCCAACCGCCTCCCACCCTCTTCCCACCCAGAAGGACACAGGCCGCTGGCTGGCAAGCCCAGGGCAGCCTGAGTGCCCGGTCCCTCGGGAGCAGAAGGAAAATGACATCTCTCTCCAGGACAGTGAGCAGAAGGATGAGGGAAAGCGGCTCTGACTGCGCCATGCGGGGGAGGGTGCGATATGACATCACAGAGTCCTCCGCCTGGCCCCCTGAAAGGCACTTGGCACTGGGACCGGGGCTGCAGCCCTCACACTTCATCTGCTGCTGGATCTGGGCAGGTGAAAGGAACCCTGCCCTGGAGCGAGGTGGAGGTGGCCACAGGGACTCTGCCAACAGAGACCAGGCTTCCTGGGAACAGCACTCGCTTCCCCAGGGCGCCTGCCCCTTCCTCTCTGTCTTCCCCAAACCCCCGTGACTCATCTTTTGAAGGTGGGAGTGAAACCAGGGTCTGTTGTAACATGTCTGTATTCATCTTCTTGGAGGGAAATTGGAATGAAAGGGAGAAGGAAGCCATAGGGGGACTAAATAAAACGCCTGTGTTCCTGTGGTGTTTCTTTTCATTTTTTTTCTGAAATGGTCTTTGTTAAGTGCAGGGTTTAGACAGCATTGGAATCTTCATATTTGTGCCTTTTAAAAATGCAGTGAAAGCTTGTATGGTGGGCATAGCAAAAAGGGACAAGTCTGCATAAGGTGAATCTTGAATTTTTATTTCAAAATTAAATGGATCAGTCGGCAGCAGAGAGTGGTTAAAACTCCACGCAGTCTCCTCAAGAGTGGAAGCGATACGTATAGCTGGGAAGGTGCTCTGATGACTGTTGGCCTTTCTCCTTTCTCCTGCGTTCACTCTCGGTGCTGTGCCGACTGTGTGGTTAGAGGAAGGTGAGGGCCTGGCATGTGTGGGGCAAGAGCTGGTTACTTGCATCCTACTAGAGTTCTCATCAGATAACCCAGGGGCTAAAGGGGCCTTGTTAGACATTGTTTTAGTGCCAAAGGAGGCAATGTGTTGGGGGACAGACACTACACTGGGGCTCATCAGAGATGGCCCCCAGCCCTGGGGCAGTCACTCAGCAGCTGGCCAATCTAGGATAAGTCCTTTTTCCTTGACACCTCCTCCTCACCATGCATGTTTCTATGGAGAACATGGGGCCAGACAGCCTTGTGACTCTTGCTGCTGACTGTGCTCAGATCCTTTAGCCTCCCTGTGATGAGAGCTGACCTCACGCAGCCCCTCCTGGGGGCTGGGCTGGGTTCTCAGCACTCTGCCTGCCGGGTAGCTCACTACCACCTTATGCAGGAGCTTCTGTTAGTGGCTTCCTGTCTTACCAATAAGGAAGCTGAGGCACGCAGAACTTAAGAAACCAGGTGGATGTCCCACAGCTGGTAAGTGACAGAGCTGGGCTTGAATGCAAGGCTGTACTTTTGCCTTCTCACTGCCTCTGCATGCCCCCTTGCCTCCACTGTGGTGTGGCCTGATTGTTATGGTGCCTCTCTTGGGCTTGATGGGGATTAGAAACAGTTACTATTGCTATCACCTGTAGGAATCCCTTCCTGCTCTAACACTGTGAGGCTTGGCAACATAGTTCCACCCCTAGGAATAGTCCAAGGGAAAAGACAAGGCTAGAAGGGGGCAGAGGCTAAGGTGCTTCAGGGGCAGGTGTCAGATGGCATTGGCCCTAGTTCGGTGCAGCTGTGAAGCCGGTGGTGGAAGAGGGGGGTGATGCTCTGTGGCCTGGCCTTGCAGGCTGGACCTGTGAGCCGACCCTCCCCACAGCTCTCAGCAATCAGGCCTGTGTGTGAAGACAGGACAAGCCTGTGAGTGTGGACAGAGCATCCAGATGTCACTGAATTCAGCTCCCTCAGGGCACCTGTGAGCAAGGAGCCAAGCCAGTCATCACCTCAGAGGTTCAGACATGCATTACGGCCCCACCTGCCAAAGGAAACATTGCCATCACCCCAGGGACAGATAGGAATCTGATCGTAGTGTCTTTCATGGAACGGCTCCTAAATGCTGCAGGAAGGAAAGAAACGGGCAAAGAAAGGGATGGGGTCAGGGCCTCCCGCACAACCAGCGTCAACCGGCCTGTCGTGGCCAGCCTGGACCTGGCTGGCAGTTGGCATTGTGCCCCTTCTTTCCCGGTGTCAGCC